TGAAGGACATATTTCCCTGTTGAGAAGCAAGATTAGTGATACTTTTCTGCAGACTGTGAAGGACATGGAGGTGATGGGAACACCCAGCAGCACCAAATACAGCAAGATCAGGCTGGCATGAAGTGAACCCACAGACTAACTGGCAGACACCTTTGCATCAGAAGTTTCTTTACAAATGTTTAATCATCAAGACTGCTGGTCAGGTATGACCAGTCTTTGCTTGGACTTGGATGCCAGACCCAGTGTCATGAGGTATCTGATGAGGAACAGTGACAAAATAAATCACTTTTTAGAAGGGGTAAGGAACAGCTCACAGCAGTAATCTTCAGTTGGAAAAATGACCTTTTCACAGTGTCAGCATTTTAGATGGGGAAATATTAATTTGCTCTTGAAACACTGATATGCTTTTGACACAGCCTGTGGAAGGCTGCAGTTCAACTCAAGGTTCTACAGAGCTACAGATGGTTCAGGGAGTAAGGGCATGGACACATCTACAGAGAACACGAGTGGCAGGACCAAACCGAGAGGCTCATTTTTAAAATCCTAACTCTGGGAATGTGTAGTCAGGAATATGCTTCAGTGACATTTGAAGTTAGCTCTGGTTCCTCCTGCTTCCATGGACAACAGTTCTCACTCCAGGTTTTGTAAGAAGGGGTTCAGCATGCTGCTTTATTGCAGCTGCCTGGAATAGAAACTGTTTTTAAAAACAAAATAAACAACATCCTGTCCCAAACACACACACAAAAAACCCACTACATGACATACATTTCACAGTGGAAAACCAAACCGTGCCACATCCATCAGAAAAACTGATTTCAAGAGATTTTAGAAGTCACCTTGAACACCTTAATTGGAAGAACAGTGAGTAATACTCAAAATATCGTTGTTGTTTGTAGGCTTGAAATTCAAATGTTTTACTAGCTACTTTTCCTCTAAATCTTGGCACACTACTTTATTATTATGTAGTTTCTTACAAATGTTGGTCACTGGGAACCTTAATTTTCAATATAAGCGTCATTTAGAACATTAATTTTAAAATATATTGGCTGTACTTTTTTAAACAAGTTAGCGATATTTTAGGACAGGTTGGGAAGCTACCATCCTTGACAGGACTAATTTAATACCCATCATAAAATTGGTAACAGGGTAAAAAGAATGGAATTATAGGGGGAAATCCACCAATGAGAGCTTTAGCCTATTCAGAACAGTACTAATATAATAGACTGAACAAATCAGCTCTATAAATTTCCGTCAGTGTAGAGTACCCATACAAGGTCTCATGCATCAGCTAAAGTAAAATGAGGTCCTTGTACAGACCCTGTGAACGGGAGAGAATTTCACCCCCAACAGCTGAAAAAATGCCTCTCATTCTGATTGCATCAGAAAATTAATTCTCTCCATGCTCCAGCAAAACTGAAACTGGTTCAGTCATCAACGCGATATTTTGCATAAGACAGTTTATACTACATTCGCAAATAAAGTGGTTTCAGGCTAAACAGAGGATTTCTGCTGTTTCCTTGGTAAAATCTGGTTAATAAAAATATTGACATGTGCAGTGTATCAACTGATGTAAGCAGGAGTTATATAATGAAATAAGACCTTGACAATAACATTGTTGAGGCACATGAAGATATACTAGTATAGAAGAAAATGAAGAAAAATGTCAGGAAAATTACTGAAAGCAAGAAAGCAGAGCTTTAGCAAAAGGCTAAGGAGCAGGAAGGGAGACTGAATGAATATGGAAAACGCAGCATGTTTTGGGCTTTATTTTCAGGAAGAACTGGAACAAAATTTCTAATACAAAGATATTTATGCTACAGAGAAACTGCACCAGATCACCAAAAATTAAAAAAAAAAAAAACAACAAAGGAAAAGAAAAAAACATGGGAGAGAGGCAGTAGGACATTGAGTTTGAAAAATAATTTTGAAGAGTATTGAGTACTATCTGCCTAACAAGCCTGCTAGTGATGGGGCTTGGGGTCCTGTCCATGGGGCTTAGCGTCCCACAAAGGGCCTGTGTACTCCAGCCTCCTGCAGGAGGGTTGATTTCACTCAATATGCATATCGCATCCTCCTAATTATCCATCTCTTTGTATTAATGATGAAATAATACAATCTTCTATTTTCTCTAATTAAGTTTATTATGGAGACATTTTTATGTGCCTATTTTTGAAAAATGAAATTTCATTAAAAGTCAGTGTATCAGATCTTATTAATTCTATTACATTACAACATGAAACATTTCATCAGGAAAAAAAAAAAGACTGAATCAAAACCAACCCTAGACTTTGATAATACAGATAAAAAAAATCCAATGCATTCACTTTTCAATCTCATTTTAAACACTGCAAAACTTTCCTCACGCAAAGTTTCAAAATCAATAGAGAATGACTTATCACATTCTCCTACAGAAGCATATTTCGTCTACTTTGCTGGGGATTTTTTCCCCTGAAAACACTATGAAATGCCGATGCGTTTTGCTAAGCCATTTTTTTTCTTCTTCTGGTAATTAGGAAAAACTAGATAAATAAATTGATATCAATCACCTTTGGGAAAAGCAGGTTGGACTAAAAGACCTTTTAATAATTGGAATGGCAGTGCACTTTGCATGTTGTCAGCGCTCAGTGACAATTGCTACGAGACAATTGATACACGGTGACGTTTTCTTTGTCATTGCTGGACAGTAGGGACTTTAGCACCAACGATTTTCTGCCATCATCCGAAAGTGATAGGGGCCTATGAATGGTCGTAGCAAGATAAAGAATCCCTTGATATCCCGTAGAGGCACCGCAATGTTTTGCTGCTCTCCTGACATGTTCCACAGCTGTGACTCCAGGGCACACACAGCTGAATGGTTTTGCTGAGGTTTGGAGTCTTCTCCTGAAGATTTTTTTGTTGCTTCTCGTGGAGATACAGCTCAGCATCACCGGGGCACTGCTTGCATGAAGGATGGATCACGCCGGGTGGCAGAGAGCAGCAGAAACACCAGGCTGCTGCCGGGGACTGAGGGATGCTTATTTTGCTCTTTCAGAAAAGGAAGTCATAACCGATTTGAGCAGTTGTAGCAGAATATATAGGCTGTGTCAGGAGACCGAAAATTTCACTTGTAAAACACAGAGTAGAATGACTTGTAGCACATACCTAATTGACTCAAATTGCTTATTTTGGTTTTCTGTAAACCACAAATTTATGTCATATAATTTCAGCTGTTTTCCTTGTGCAGCAGTTTGTCATTCTAGAAGGAAACACAGTCCCTAAAATTATATATACAAAACCTTTTTTTTTCAGACTTATTTCTTGTGCTGGAATGACTGAGATACAGTATTAAAGGTTTAGGGAGAATAAATGACTGTTTCTGATTAAGCTTCATCCTGCTTATCTGTTAACTGTGTATTGTTGATCACTGTAGTTGGGGTCCGTAGACCACATTTATTCTCCCAGGGCAATCTAGCTCACTCAAAGTCCACCCTCAAAGCTCCTCTCTCTTTTAGGCAACTCTGTGTTGTGGGCAGAGAGACTGTCTGGCATTAACAGAAGTTTGTTCAGGAGCATCTCATTCACCATAACTCCTGTATTTGACCTGGTAGATGAAGATTGAGAACAGGACACTACTCTCTCCTCAATACAGCAGACACACGGATATATTGGAGACAGTCCAGTGAAGACAGAGATGACGAAGGGACAGGAGCACCTCTGCCATAAGGAGAGGCTATGAGAGCTGGACTGTTCTATCTGGAGAAGAGAAGGTATAAGGGGTGAAGATCTCACCAGTGTACATCAATAGCTGAAGGGAGAGTGCAAAGAGGATGGAGCCAGGTTCTTTTCAGTGGTACAGAACCAGAGGCAACAGGCACAAACTCCCATGGAAGAAATTCCATTTAAAAATAAGAAAAAACTTTTTTTTTGCTGTGGGGGTGTTGAAGCACTGGCACAGGTTTCTTAGGGAGACTGGGGAGTCTCCATCTTCAGCAATATTCAAAAGCTCTCTGGACATGGTCCTAGGTGGATGGCTCCAGGTGTCCCTTCCTGAGGGAGAGTTGGATCAGATGACCTCCGGAAGTCTCTTCCAACCTCAACCATTCCATGATTCTGTGAATTCTGTGCATGCCAAGAATGAGTGGATAAATGCACTTTGATGATACCAATTCATCATCGTTTATGTGAACCTAGTGCTTCCCGGGAGCTAGAGATTCATTGCAAGTAAGGCCAGGAGTGCTTGACTCTATTGCACAGTACTTTGATGCAGATAAGACATTCACAGGACATGTTGTTTGTGAACAGGACAGTAAGAAATGGGAAACGTTCCAGGAGATGGCTTCCCCTGGGGCTGAAACAGGGTATGCAGCCTGCCAGGCTGAAAAGGTCTAGAGCTATACGTGGCATTTGTCAGAGTGACCGGGATCCGGCCTGTAGGCCTACTGTTTCCCTGAGCTGACCTTTGGAAGAAATCAATCCCTTTGGCACCTCCCCTCCCAGCTTTCCAAAGTGTATAGCAATAAGGAAAACATGGGCAAGAGACTAGCAGCATGCCAAAAAGAAATGCAAACATGGCTGGCAGATAGAAATTTTCAACCGAATTGTCCAAAGAAATAAAAATTCGAAAGTAGCAATATTCAGAAGAAAACCCAACATAGACAACCATGAAGTTTTTCCTTTGCCCTGCCATCTCCAATGAGGATGCTGCACCAAAGATGGAAGTCACACCCACAACACCTGGAAAAGCAGCAGGTGTGTCTTGTGCACAGCCCTGCTTGCAGAAGATGCATACAGATATTTCTGCCCACTTGCTGTAAAAAAATCAGTTCAGCAAACAATCCAACAAGTGAAAATAAAGAAAACCTATGTCTCAAACAATGCAGATCCAGGCTAGCAGATAGAGCACCAGACTAGACAAATAATTAAGCTTCTACCTACCTGAGTGTGCTGGTTCTTCTGAGATTTCACGACTCACGTACACTGTCTTCACAGCCAGCCTATGGGCTGTAAATATTTGGTTTTGCGGAAGGCAACATCAAATTCCTTTTGAAGTTCTTCTTTACCACCAGGTTCTTCCATACAGCCAGTGCTGTTCCAGCAGTATCTCCACAAGGACAAAGAAATACAAAGGGACAGCCAAATTAGCTGCAAGGTGCAGTAAATGTGTGGTTACACAACCTAAACTAAAGGCACACTTAAAGGCATCTCTTTATCCCCTTCCTGAAGTTTACCAGTTGGTTTGCTCTAATTTTGTTCCAGAGTGCCCTCCAGAGGGTAAACGGTGACTGTGAAACTGTTCTTAAAATACAACCTTGAGGTGGGCAAAGACATCCCTCTTAATCTGCTCTTGGGAACCCAAGAGAGACCCCTTCAGCTCTGTCTCCTCTTCCAAGTGCCAAGTCCCTGGCTCCCCGGCTGAAGGTCAGACCATCTCTTTTTGCTCTCTCCATTCCTGCTTTCTTCTTACTGTTCAAACACACAATAAAGCCCGGAGAGACTCCCAGAGAGATTTAACAGCCTTAACACAGTGCCATGGAGATGATCTACGGCGTTCCAGTCTTCTCCATGGGCAGGCAAAAATGATACAGGATCTGTGAAAGATCTGTGCCTTTCTAAATACTGCTGAGCACACGTATTCATAGATCTGAATTACTCCCTTGCCTGCCCCTTTTAGTGGGAGGGATGGGATACAAATACATGCAATAAATTCTAGTTACGTTGCTTGATGCATCACTTTTCACATCATCCAAATAACTCTACGGGAGGAGATATTACTCATTTAATTTGTTCCACATCTTGGGACTCCCCAGACAATGTGGTGAAAGATGGTTGAAGAATTCTAGTCAAATTTTTAGTTTGGCCCTTTGGATTCAAGCTGCAATGAGTGGCTCACGTATGAACCAAGTTCAATTCTGTTTTTTCACTAGGAAAGAACTCTATTAAAAAAGCTTTCAGTATTATTTACAACAATAAAAACAGGATAGAATGCCTGCTGTCTTAAAGGCTGATAATGGTACAGAGATTACAAACTGCAGTTTCAATAGAGTTGTCTCTGTCTGCTTGAGAAGTAGCCTTTTTACACCATAGGGAAGCTAACCATTTCAGCTATTTCATAATATCAGTAATGAAAGAATTGCTCTTCCATTATAACCCCATTTTATGTATAAAGCACAAAGCAGAGCCTCTGTTTCATTATTGCTTAATTCCAGAACAAATGTTATCCTCTTCCTTTCAGAGAATTACGAACTGTGTCTTTATTTACTTGCATGGCACATTTTTCACACATTTGACAGACCATTGCTCATGTTCTTCATTGTCATGGTATTAGTGAAATGTAGCATAAGCTTTAAATTTGCGACTGCTGTCCAATCAATAAGAAGATCACACCATCCGAATAATGCTATGATATGTGACATTATCTATTCAACTGTTCTATTTCTTGGGACTTGTGAATACTGTCACATTGAAAATGAACACCATTTGCGCTGACAGATTTTTCCTCCATTCAACACTTTTAATGAATATATTTCAAAATGAGGTACCAGATTAAATAAATTTCATGTCATATCAAACCAGAGATATTAACGTTATTTGTAGCAGCAAAGTTCCAAGTAAATTACACTGAACTTACATATGCAATGCATTTAGCAAGAATAGGGTTTTCAAATAGCATAAATCTTGTTGGATGTCAACTTGCCACAGCAGTGATATGTAGACCTTATTCTCCGTATTTTCATGACAAGAACAAAAGTGCGCTTTGGAATAGTTTCCTAATGTATCAAATTAGTATCCAAACCAGAATTTACTGCCAACACAGAAGTTTACTAAGGAACTCCAGTCAAAGACTCCTGTATCTTTTGTTGCCCAAGCAATGCTATTGTCATTCATTCTCGCCATAAAGTCTTCTATATAGATTTTTTTTCCAGTGGCCATGCTATTTTAATGTGTGCATTGGATCTAACCATCTTTTCCCCTCCATGAGGTATCCTTTCTAACAGAATCATGCTGTTTCTGGAAGAATGGCTCATGGGTAGGCTCTCATTGGACTTATCACGTCTCATCCCCACAGGGCATAGAACATGTTTCTGGTACTACAGGAATTACTCGTACAGAAGAAAGCAGTACCTTCAGCCAGGTCTCACACAGCAAGATAATGTAGCAAACTTCTTGTGTGAAAAAGTTTAAAAATGGATTAATCTTTTGCTGAGTATGATATCTTGGTGCATGAAGGCTTTCAGTGTCTTCAGATAAGTGCATCTTTGTCTTTCAATAAAGATAGTCCTAACAGGGTTAAATGAAATTTATGGACAATAAGGTAAAGATTGACATTAGGAAGGATTATAGGAGCATGGTTCATCAAAACTTATATGATTTCAGTGTTTCAGTAGCCTATTGTATTGTAAAAAATGAAATTGCAAGAAAGATGTCATTCTCAGAGCTGTGCTCTCACTATTTCTATAGTGCAAGCAAATCAATTCACATTCCATTATAGTAATAAGAACTGTATATTGTAAAAATACACTTACAAGGAACTGGAAATATAATATAGAGTTCCCATCACAGACCCATTTATTGCTGGTGTAGTGCTAAAAAAAAAGTTTTCTGTTCTGTCTGACGCTACCTTATTATACAAAGGCATGTAAAACCTGCTGCGTGAAAAGACCTGAGGCCAGATTCCTAGAATGAGCTGCGAGCTCCTAACTCTGCTAGAGGTAATATTCAGCAGAGATCTCCCTCATGTCTGACTCTCTCTATATCTACAGCAGAACCTAGAGGTAATATTCAGCAGAGATCTCCCTCACGTCTGACTCTATATCTACAGCAGAACTTGTGAGATGGTCATCCTTTAGAACTGCATTCTCCCAGATGGCAAGGCACTATCTGGAAGTTAACGGCTTCTCAGCAGAGAAATGTCATGCTGTTCAAACATCAGGGGAAAAAAGAGGGAAAAAACATCAGCAAAATTCTCCTATAGGAAAGGCCTGACTTCTGCTTCATTTGTAAAAGAAGTAGTCCCTCTTCCCCTGTCACCTTCCTTTCGTAGTTTCACAAAGAATGAGTTAAGCTTCCTCTCTTGCTTTGGGTGGATGTCATTCTCTCAGAAACGGAAAAAAACCCCAACCATGTAGCCATACTGGCACCATTGCATTTAGTGGGGCAGCCAACAAAGAGAAGATCATCTCTTACTAGCCAAAAAGACGTAGATGTCTGCGAAAATTAAGTCTGAATACATATCAAAATTTCAGTAATTAGAGAGCTAATCATATCCTTAACTGCTGAACCATCTTTCCCTAACATAACAATGCTTTCAGAAAGCCCTTTAGGAATTAATCTCTGAGTCTAGCCTGAGGAAGTATTTTTATGTCCTTAATTTTAATGAAGAGAAAGCAGAAAAATGTTTAGCATTATAACTAATGTCCTCTCTCTCATTTTGTCCACTTGTAAAACAATAAGTTGGTACTTATGTATTAAGTGAGGGCCATAGAGAAGTAGATCTTGATTAAACATGTAAGTAGGTAGACATTTTCCTTCTATACAAATAGATAAAATAAGACACAGATGTTAACTGACTCTCCTCACTAACACAATAAATTAGGAAACAATTTATCAAACCCTCAAGAGACACTCTTTGAGAAAAAATATTTAAAGCTAAGTAGCATGCACCTTTTGTAAACTCTTCTGGAGCCTGGTCACCAGGTCTTTTTCAAGACTTAATATACAATGTGCCAATTATCCAGCACTTGGCAATGTCCATTTGTAAGACTGTAGAATTCCTCAACGTTAGATTGTTCCAAGCTGATTTATATGACAGGTTAAGAAGAAACAGATTGTGTACACCTAGAGCAGTTTTATATGGAAGGAAAGCTTTTATATTTCTTCCTTTTCAGACAATAATCGTGTCACAACACTGTTACAACACAAATAAGTCAAGTTAAAGATGCCATAGAGTGAACTATTTTTTTTAAAAAAAGAAGCTAATTCTTCTAGCAGACTTAGTACCATATTCCCAGAAAGTCACAGTGCTGAAGGGAAAAAGATACTAAAACATTTTAAGGCTACTTTTGCTTTTCATAGATCAGCAATATGTGTTTGCACCACTCACTCAATTCATTGTCTTATGGCTTACTAAAAATGCTATGTATTATGATTTCCTTGTACCTCAAGATTTTTATTCAAATATTAAAAATAAAGTGCTGTTTTTATTCTCTCTCTTTTTAATGTTTTTCTCTGAAGTTTATTGTACTTCAGGCTCTCTATTATAAGCCACGAAGGGCAATTATATCCTAAAGTATGGTGATCACTACTGAATACGATACTCCAGGTGAAGTATATAACTAGTAATTAGGCACTATTAATTCTATTTAGTTTGATTTATTATCTGTTTCTACAGGAATTAAATATAGTGTTCCATCTGATATGTGTACTGCAGTTAGGAATTCAACAGCATGTTAGAAGTGAATGTTATGATAATTCCTTGTTGGTCACTACATTACAGATTTTTTTTAAGTATTAGCCATGAATAAACTATTTGCCCATTTATATATATAAATATTAATAACTGAAACTTTTGACCTTGACAAACTCTGATCACTAGTACTTGAGCTATCTTGAATCACTTCATTTGCGATATTCTCATTAGATAGTCAAATTAGCTCTAAAATATACCTTCTAATTGCCTCTAAAAAAATCCTGGTCCTCTGATGAGTTGACATACTATTTTGACACATGTAGCTGAAATTTTTTTGTATGAAAGCTTTTTCAGCTGAAAAATACTCTTCCAAAATGAAAATTATCAGGTTTTGGGTTTTCACCTTATAAAGTGGTTTTGTTTTGCTATCTTAACAGTGAAAAATGTCAGATTTCGTATTTATTTATTTCATCTCATTTTTAAATTTCATTTTCATTCATCTTAATCTCCCTTTCTTCTGTGTCCCTCACTTTTTACTATTACCTAGTTAGAAGACGTAAAGCAGTAAGAAGCCAGGCAGCACTTCCCTCCTATTACAATTATTGTAGAATAACTAGTATATGATTACTTATAATCTGCAGTAATTTTTTTCTATGAGTGCATGAGATAAAGAGTGAGGT